GGGGGAGTTGGGAAGGTCAGGACGTGCTGGGAACTCGTGGGAGCTGGGAATGGCAGGACATGCTGGGAATTTGTGGGAATGGCAGGACGAGCTGGGAACTCGTGGGAGCTGGGAACTCGTGGGAGCTGGGAACGGCAGGACTTGTTGGGAAGAGACCAGCTTTTCTGATTTTTATCCTGAAAGAGCGTGGATTTGGGCAGAGAAGGTGCTGCTTTTGCCAACCAGCCACCAAGCTCAAGGCTGCTCGGCCTCGCCTTGAGGCTGGAGGGTGGGAGTACGAGATCCTTTTTGATCCAGGTTGCGATTCCAGGCATGCATTTCCGTCTTATTCGCCCGCAGGAGCGGATCAGTCAGGTCCTGAAGGATTTGGAAGAGGAGCGTGTGCCAGTCGTGAAGCTGGGCGACGCCAGCATTGCAGCCCCCTTTACCTCCAAGCTCTCTTCCATTCAGTGCAGTAAGTGCTGGGTGGGAGCTGCACGGTTATTCCCGGGGGGAACGAGTCCAGGTTTGAAAGGAGCCCAGACAGAGGGGGTGGGGCTGTGAAAAATGCCCCCAGACCCACGGATTTGCCGGCTTTTTGTGTGGAGTGACACTGCGGAGGGGGGTTCCTTGGGTGGGGATGCAAGCGGTGAGGGGTTAGCTTCCCTCCGTGCCCCTTCAGAAAGGGAAAGGACTGAGGGACAGAGCCCCAGAACCCGTTTCGTTTCCAAACGCTGCTTCCTCTTGCTCCTCAGTCTGCCACGTGATCAAGCAAGGTCGTTGCACGCTAGTGACAACGCTCCAAATGTTCAAGATCCTTGCCCTGAATGCCCTGATCCTTGCTTACAGCCAGAGCGTCCTCTACTTGGAAGGGGTGAAATTCAGTGATTTTCAGGCAACTCTGCAGGGTCTGCTCTTGGCTGGCTGCTTCCTTTTCATCTCCAGGTCAAAGGTAAGGGCAGGGAAGCGCGTTGGGACAGCGGCTGGGCCGTGTCAGTCGTATCAGTGCCTCTCTCCAACAAAAACCCGTTGATTGTAATAAATCAGAGGTCCATAATGCTGGAGAGGGTGAGGGTTTGCTTTGTTCCCCTGGATTTGGGAGACTCCTGAGAGCCAACGCTTGTGTAAGGAGCATCTTGTCTTGGCAGGCAGCTTTGTTTGGGTTACAGGAGCAGCTGGAAGAGGTGGGAAGGGTAATGCAGGTTGAAAAAGGGTTCAATTTGAGGCTGTTACCTGCACAAACAAGCTGGGGGTCTTGTGGAAGGGTAATGCAGGATGATAAATGACACAATCATGGAATGGTTTGAGCTGGAAGGGACCTTAAATCCCACCCTGCCACGGGCAGGGACACCTTCCATAGCCCAGGGTCCTCCCAGCCTCATCCAGCCTGGCCTTGGACACTCCCAGGGATGGGGCATCCACAGATTCTCTGGGCAACCTGTCCCAGTGCTCCCACCCTCTGCGGGAAGAATTCCTTCCTGATGTCCCATCTCCATCTCTCTCTTTCCGCTTAAACCCGTCATCCCTTGTCCTGTCACTCCCTGCCCTTGGGAAAGGACCTTGTGGAAGGGTAATGCGGGTCGAAAAAGGGCTCGGTTGAGGCTGTTACCTGCATGAACAAGCTGGGGGTCTCATCTGTGCATGAAGCGGAATTCTTGCTGGCATTTCCCACGAAACCCAAACGAATGTTCGTTGGATTCTACTGGAAAACTCCCTAGAGATGATAAAAACCATTCCAGTTTGCTTTTTCTCTCCCAGCCTTTGAAGACTCTTTCCAAGGAGCGCCCACTGCCAAACATCTTCAACCTCTACACGGTCCTGACGGTGCTGCTGCAGTTCCTTGTGCACTTCCTCAGCCTGGTTTACCTCTACCGCGGCGCCCAGGCGCGCAGCGATGCCAAGTAAGTCCCCGTTCCTCCCACGCCGGAATGTGTTCTCCGACTGCTGCTAAGCTGGGGGGTAGGGAGCGGCCTCCTCCTGCGAGCGCTTTACTGAGCACGCCGAGCGGGAGTTTAATCTGTTAGGTGTGTCCAGAAAAAGCATTTTGGGGTTGTACATGGCAAGGATGCAATGGAACTGGTGGGAATATGATCCGTGAGATGTCACAGTTCCAGTCCCCACACCGGGAAGGGAAAAGGGAGACAAAATAACACCAGCGAGGTGGATTACTGGGAAGTTATAAAGAAAAACACAAAAAAAATTCCCAAATTTGTTTGCCACTTGGTTTTTTTTGTGGAAGAGAACCCGATGATGACCTGTGTGTGCAGCTCCGTGCTTGTGTCGCTAACGGGAGCCACTGAAGCTTGGGAATGAGCCGTTGTTGCCCACCAAAACCTGCACGTAGCTTAAAAAAAAAAAACGGTGATTTGCACGTGGTCGACTGATGTGCAGCCTTGCTCCCTCTCAGGCAGGAGGAGTTTGTGGATCTGTACAAGGAGTTTGAGCCCAGCCTGGTGAACAGCACCGTCTACATCATGTCGATGGCGATGCAGATGGCCACCTTCGCCATCAACTACAAGGCAAGTCACGTTGCCGTCGTGTCTCCAGCCGCACCAGGGAAGCGATGTTGTAGTTAAGGTGCAATAATCATAGAATCATGGAATGGTTTGGGTTGGAAGGGACCTCAAATCCCATCCAGTCCCATCCCCTGCCATGGGCAGGGACACCTTCCATAGCCCAGGGTGCTCCCAGCCTCATCCAGCCTGGCCTTGGACACTCCCAGGGATGGGGCATCCACAGCTTCTCTGGGCAACCTGTCCCAGTGCTCCCCACCCTCTGCGGGAAGAATTCCTTCCTGATGGCCCATCTCCCTCTTTCTGTTTAACCCCATCACCCCTTGTCCTGTCACTCCCTGCCCTTGGGAAAAGCCCCCCCAGCTTCCTTGTAGGTCCCCTTCAGGTATCAGAAGGTGCTGTAATACAAAACAATGTTCTCTAATCACAAACTACATTTTGCCAGCGCTTTGCAGAGAAAAAAAATTCCCTCTTTTTGCAGCAAGTTGGAATGAGCCAAGTGTCCTGACCCTAATTGCTCCGCATGCCCTAGTCTGGAGCAGTACAGCCTCCCCTCGGCTCACGCGTTCTCCCTGCTGCGTTTCAGGGCCATCCCTTCATGGAGAGTCTACAGGAGAACAAGCCTTTGCTGTGGAGCATCATCCTTTCGGGACTTGCCATCGTGGGCCTTCTCACAGGCTCCTCGCCGGAATTCAATGAACAGTTTGGCTTGGTGGACATCCCAACCGAGGTGAGCAGGCTGACTCGATGTTACGCACGGTTTCCAGTGGGAGAACAGGACACGGCCTGTCCTCGGGAACACTGGAGGGATCCTAAGGTTTTTAGCGGATAACTCCTCGCGGGAGCATTACCTACCTAAATGGTTTTAAGTGAGAGG